GATGATGGGCTCGAGTATAGCAGGGATTGTGGGGCTGGCGCGGGATCGGGCAGTGTTTCGTTCTGCTGTGCATGGGGTCGCTATGAGTCGGAAATGACTCGACTGCACTTAACAACAACAACAACAAAGTGACATAGGTCAATGCATTTTTTTTCTTTTTTGCATTTTCCCTCCCCTCTGCTTCCACCCCTGGCAACCAACAAAGAAAGTTTCCCTCCAAGTATAAACCTTTCCTTGACCCTCCACAGCAACAGACTAATACTATATTTGTCCTTCTCTGATTGACTTATTTTACTCAGCATAATATTCTCCAATTCATCCATATTATGCAGTGTTTTGCAGACTCTACATTATTCTTTAGTGCTGTGTAGCATTAATTATCAGCAAATGTGAATTTGTTGCTGTCATTTTTGTTATGTGCTTTTTTGTGGTGTTGATTTCTTTGTTCCATATAATTTTCTATGCTGAGCTCATTTTATTTATGAATTGTGTTATCACTTCCTTTGTTGCTATTGTTTTAGCATGTGCAAAATATTTGTGCTGGACTTTTTTATTTTGTTGCAGAGGTTTGTCATTTTTCTTTGAGGTTACCCTGTGATTTATAGTTTCTTCCCATGTTTAGAACAGTCTGTTCTATCTCATAGTTGTCTTGATTTCCCTACCATCTAGAAGCTCTGGAATGGCACAGTTTTTTCCCTCTTTTTGGTTTGTAGTTGTCCTCATTTGTCAAATGATGTCTCTGGTTCCCTGTTTACAATCTTGTAGGCTTATTTGGATGCTTCCATAGCTGGGTTGGTTTCTGGGTTATGGCATCATGTTTGTTAATGGTTAGTTGTTATTAGCTGTTGTTGATTCTCTGTCCAGAGGACTTCCCTTTAGCAACCAGGTTGGTCTGGTTTTAACAAATTCCCTTTATTTCTGCTTATCTGGAAATGTTCTAATTTCACCATCATATTTGAGGAACAGTTTTTCTGGGTGCATTATTCTTGGTTGGAAGTTTTTCTCTTTCAGGGTTTTATATATACCATCCCATTGTCTTGCCTGCATGGTTTCTGCTGAGAAATCTGAGCTTAGTCTTATTGGTTGCCCCTTGTAGGTTTTTAGTTTTTCCCATGCTGCTTTTAGGATTCTTTCTTTGTCTTTGGTTTTGATGAGTTTGATAATACTATGTCTTGGTGATTTTCTTTTGGAGTCTGCCCTATTTGGGGTTCGTTGGACTTCCTGAATGCATATATTCTCATCTTTCACATACCAGGAAAATTCTTTTCAAACAAATCTTCGACAATTTTCTCTGTGGTTTTATTTGTCTCTTCTTGTTCTGGAATTCCGATTATATGTAGGTTACTCCTTTTGATGGTATCCAATATGAACCTTAGGCTTTCTTCATTTTGTTTTGCTCTTTTTTTCTGATTGATCTCTTCCCAAAGAAGTGTTCAGGTATTTGCCTTCAATCTTGCTAATTCTGTCTTCCATTGATTAAGTTCTGCTCCTTTGCCCATTCAGTGTCTTACCTTTTTCTGAAAATTAAGTATTAATCTTCTGGATTTCTGTGTGTAGATTTTGTATCATTTCTAATTTTCATTTATTTTGTCATTATTTTTTGTGTTGTCTTTCAAAATCGTTCTAGGATTTTCTCTGTGTTTTTCTCGATCTGCCTCTTAGTTAGTTGAATATACCTAAATATAATTCTTCTGAGTTCCAATGCTGCGTCTTCCTCAGGGATGTGTTTTGGGTCTGTATCCTGGTCCCTTGTTTCTCCTGCTTTATCTTGTTGCTTTGTGTGGACTGTGGTGCTCTGTTTTCTCTGAGGCATTGTGATGTTTTTGTGTTTATATTTAATTGGTGATTGTACCTTGGAGTGCCTTGCCCACGATTTTCGTTTTCTTCGTTTTGTATGTTATCTGTGTAAACAGGGTACTGTGCTGTGCTCCTCTATTCGCTAGTTGACAGCCTTATACATTCACCACCTATCTCCTTTCCCGTTGTCATCCTCTCATATGTCCCTGCCATCCTTGGCAAACAGAGCCTTTTCTTAGGTCCCTGGAATCCGTTGAGAATGCTGTCACTTTAAAATCCAAAATGGCTGCCACTCGTAAACATTCAAAATGGCTGCACCATTGGTCACTTTAAATATCCAAGATGGCTGCTGCGTGTAAACAATTAAAATGGCTGCTCCCTCTGGACAGTGGGAATTCTACAGCTCAGGCTGTCTCCCTCCTTGCTGTTTCCCTTCCTAGTTACAGGCCACTAGTGCAGTCATCCCTGCAGCCCTTGGTGACCAGGGCCGATCTTTAGGTCAATTCTCAGGTCCCAACACTACTTGGAAATATTCAGGCTGTTGGTCCTGTCAGAGTAGCTGACAGTCCACTGCTCTGACTTTCTCTGTACTCATTGTTTCATTCAGGTTTTTCCAGTAGTTGGTGCCTCATCCACTTCTGTGTACTTTATTTCAAAACTCAGGGCTCCAGGATTATTTTCTGCATCTCTGTCAATTGATTTCACTTTTCTTTGTTGAGGAGGGTCTGTGTGGCTTTTCTGCCTATTCCTCCATCCTAATGGAAGTCTGTCCCTATCCTCACTTCTAAGTAGTATGCTGCTGTAGAAATACTGGTGAGATCACAAGGGGCAGTCTAGAATGGGGTAATAGGTTTATGCAGAGATTTTTTTTCCAAGATGCGAGATGTGTGTTTTTTGCAGGCAGAGAGATGGAGCTGACAGGAGTATGTTGAATATATTGAATGGGGGAGGGGTAATTGTGGAAGTAAGGCCCTTTGGAGTTGGGCCTTTTGAGGTCATTAGAGTGTAGGTGAAGTGTTCATTTTAGATAAATGATAGAATTTTATTCTGGGGCTTGGGAGGGATGCAAGTAGAGTTTCATTTTGGCAGTGGTTCATTATTTGCATACACTAGCATATGTAATTTTGAATTGATTATTTCTAGAATCTCTTTAATAAATAGCAGCTCTGCATTTAGAATTTGCTGTACTGATACTTGCATTTATTCTAAAGAATGCCCACCACACAATTTTTTTGAGTGAATAACCTTTGAGGTATTTATTTTTCTCCTGTAATATTTATTTGCTTTGTACTAGGCTCATTCTTCCTTGCAAGGATTTGACTAATGCTCTTTATTTTATTTTCAGTTTGGCTTTGGTTGAAAAAATAACTTAGCCTATATGTACTACTTTAACCACTGGAAGAATGACAGATGACAGAGATGTGCTTCGAGATGTGTGGTTTGGACGAATTCCAACTTGCTTCACGCTCTGTCAGGATGAGATAACTGAAAGGGAAGCAGAACCATATTATGTAAGTATATTGATGATGGGAAAGGGATATTTCACTTTGACCGTTTTTATAAATAAAGCTCTAAGGATCTGAAGGCTGTTCCCTGACATTTTATATACAATTAGTACCTTCTTATTAAGGGGGAAAAAAATTAGAAAACAGAGATAAGTAAAAAAACAGAAAATATATAAAAATCACCTGTGATCCTACCATACAGAGGTATGAAAGTATGTTGATATATTGGTATGAGTTTTTCTTATGCATGTTTAATAAATATTGGAATCATAAGCTGTGTATGCTTGGTAACAGGAAACTATTTTGAAAAATTGGAGGTTCATATATAATTCTGTTCTATTTCAGTGATTCCCAACAACTGTTTAACCAAGTTGTTTTTATAGTTCAGTGAACATACGAATATGTGTATGTGTGTATTTGTTCACTGAGGTAGTATATATACAATATATAATATGTATGTTTAAAAATACATATTATAAATTGCTGTGTAGAGCAATTTTGAGTTTTGAGTTCATGAATTATCTATTCTAAAAAAGAGTTTCAGATATCTCCTATTCAGTGTGCTGTTTTTCCAAGTGCATGTATAATAATCTAAGTTTATGCATTTTTCGATCAGTGATGATAGACCCTGCCTTTTTATTGACAAAGAAACCAAGGCATTCACAGTTACCTTCAGTCTAGTTTTTTTTCTTCTGTCTTGTGAACACATAATATTGTTTACTCAAGAGGGATATGGGAACGTAGAAATGTATTGGTGGTGATGGAATATTGCTTCTGTTTTATTTTAATAAGCTGCATTTTGCTTTCTCCCTTGTCTGTTGAGAGGCAGCACTACTCCTCAGCCTGCTCCAGCTATGGGAAGTCAGACTACTGTAGGAAGCTATTTAAGGAGCCCATTCACTTTTTGGGTACAGCAACTGTTTCATTGTTCTCTGTGCATCTTCAGCATCTGGCTTGGGTTGTGCGAGTAGTATATATGGAATGAATGAAAGCTTCTTCCCACTCACGTTGGGATTTTGTTTTTAAATCGTTCTTTTAGATTTTCTTTCTTGCATTAATTTCATATAAAGTTGGCAGTCTTTGCTTATAATCATTTGAGTCATATAACCTTTGGAAATCTCAATAGATTTTTGGCATTAGAAAAACTTCCATGTTTAAGAAGAAAATAGTTATTTTTAGAATTTCATTTGTTAGATGCACTTTTTTCTATTTTCCTTCTATAATATCGGCAGCTGTATTGTATGTTTTGTTGCCAAGCCAGTTTTTGCTTTTTTAATTAAAACTTTCAATCTTGAGCGACTTTCTAATGTCTAGACAAAGGAGTATATGTAGACAGTTAGCCCAAGTGGGGAAAACTTACCAAAGTATGGTTTTTGTCTTTTTACTTCTGAATAAAATTTTGATCTTTGACTCCCTTCCATTTAAAAAATATTCAAGAGTGTGCTATTTTCATTTCTTCATATATATGAAAAGGCTGTTGTGAGAACTAGAGTTTAAGTTTTCTAGCTGTTTCTAATCAAATTGAAAATGGCCAGAGTGTTGGGGTAATTGTAGAAGGTAGAGTGTGTTTTCTCTTGTAGGTAATTGTTTTTACTCTTAATAATCTTTCTTAATTTATCACTGACAAAGAAACTCAGTCATTATGGTATGTGCATTTGATGAATACGGGTGGACAGGGTTATCAGAAATATTAAATGAGAAACTACGGTTTGAAACCATACATTATGATCCTGTTTTTGGATTTGAAGTATGTGCATGCATACTTTTATAAAGTTATATACAGGAAGAAAATACATAAAAATATTAACAGAATTATTGGTGAGCATTTTGGTGCCAATATAGTTATAGCTTAGACATGTCCTGGGTATAAATTAAGCTTTAAATGTTTTTAATGGCTTTCATTAATAATAATGGTAATGTTTTAAAGATTCTGGATGAAATGAGGTAAAAACACCATAACCTTTCCAGACATTCCCCAAAGCTTAGGTGAGGTGACATTAACAAGGTTGTCACTGTGGCCAGAAGAGTCCATTTATGTGCAGGCTTATTGCAGTAATGATGGGCGAATGGAAGTGTAGTTTAATGTTTATAATATTTATAGCTTATTTCTTAGAAACTAGATTTTTAAATAGCTGCTCGTAACAGATTTGTAGGTTAAAATAACTATTCAAAGAGTCTTCTGGAATTCTCTGTTTCCATTGGAAAAGTATGTTAATGTTAAACACATTCATGTATATTTCTATATTTCGATTTGTTGTCTGTGTATAAATCTTTTTGCCTATATCCTATATTTGTATCATTGAGAATTATGTCTTATTTTGCAGGGATTATTGGGAAGGAAATTTAAGAACTAGGCAACTTTTTAGTTTTTATTGTATCTGTTATATTCATTTAAACTTGCTTTTCATTTAGATTATCCAGTATAGAAGTGTACTAATTTGCATTCGTAGTTTTTGACCTGTAATGGAGGAAATCTCATAATCAGACAGACATTTGTCATTTCACAACCTCAGACATTACCCACCAATGTTTTTTTGCTTCCTTAGTCAACTGTCTCTCCCTTTCTCTACTATGACGATTTCAAATCTTCTCTACTTTATTTATGCCTCTGAGTCCTGATCTATCTCATCCTTCACTCTTGACAAGTGACCTCAGTTCCTACTTTACCGAAAAAATAGAAACCAGAAATAGATAAGACCTTCCTTAACCTTGTCACCAGATCTATAAAACCTGTTTGCATTCACACACATTTATTTCTCCTTCTTTCCTGTTATAATGAAAGAGGTGTCTTTCCTTTTAGGCAAGGCCTAACCCTCTCTGTTTGTGTTCTAAATCCCATCTCCTGCCTTCTGAGGAAGCTGGTGGTATTTCATATTCTTCCACTCCACGCCTGCCTTCTCTCTTTTTTGTTTTCAACTTCTTCCTATCTACTGTCTCCTTTTACACAGCACTTATATTGTCTTAAATCCTTCCTGTCCTGAAACAGTCTTCTGTTGACCCCATCTCCGTCTCTGCTTCTTGCTTTCCCATCCCAGCCAGACTTCTTAGAAAAGTTGTCCATGGTCCTTGCTTCCTACTTATTGCCTGCCACTTAGTTCACTATCACCACATTTTCACACCACTCCCACAAAAGTTACTAACGTCATCTCTTGCCAAACCTGCAGTATATTTTTTGAGTTTTTATTTGTTTGATTTCTCAACACTATTTAATACTTTGGATATTTTCCCCATCTTCTGACATTGTCTCCCTTGTCTCTGAAGTGCCTCATATTTCCTGGTGTTGCTTCTGCCTCTCTGGGTTTTTTTTTTGGTATGTGTATGGTCTCCTTGGCTAAACCTCTCCTTTGTCAAGTCTTTCTCCTTTGGTTCTTCCTTAATGTTGGCTTTCTTTAGGGCTGTGCCTTTTTGGCTTTTTCCCCACTTTTTTACCCAGGAACTTTGATCCATTTTTATGACTTTGTTGAGCATTGCTATCTTGACAACTTGCAAGACTTCTTTCCTGAGCTCCAAACCTGTGCGCCTGACTGCTGGAGACCCTCACTGAGATGTCTTCAGGGAATTCAAACTGTGTGTTTAAAACTGGACTAGTTTTTACTTGCAGAAAACCTGGTCATATGCAATTACTCCTTTTCTATTTTAGCAAGACGACTTACTTACCATCCATCTAATTACTTACTCATATCAGAAACCTGGGGATCATTTTTGATGCTTCCTTTTCCCCTACCCAAGGAGCTCTGGTGATGCAGTGGTTGAGATACTTAGTAGCTAACCAAAAGATCGGTGGTTTGAACCCACCAGCCGCTCTGCAGGAGAAAGATGAAGCAGTCTGCTTCCATAAAGATTTACAGTCTTGAAAGCTCTCTAGGGCTTGCAGTGAGTTGGAATCAACTTGAGTTTGGTGTTTTTTTTTCCCCCCTGTACTCATAACATCTTGTCGGTAATTAATCCATCTGATTTTACATCTCAAATCTCTTTCAAACTTAGCCACTCTCTTTCAATCCTACTGCTAATACTCAGTCCAGATTACCATCTAAAAATTGATGGATTGCATATTTTCCTGCTTTCAGTTTTGCCCTCTTTTCTCCATTTTCCAGTTTGCAGTTGGATTAATCTTTTAGAAACACCTTTTTTTTTTTTTTAATTTTTATTGTGATTTGGGTGAAAGTTTATAGAGCAAATTCAGTTTCCATACAGCAGTTCACATACACTTTGTCTCATGACATTCACTAAAATTTGCCACAGTGCAACAGTTCTCCCTCCCACTTTCTCCCTATAATTACCTCTTCCCTGTGTCCTTTTCTTTCATGCATTCCTGCCCCCCGAGCTGTCTCCCTGTGCATACACAGCCCTTCTATTCTGCCATGATTGAGCTCTCCAAGGAGTAGTGTATCTACCTAATGTAAATGTTAAGCTCATATGCCTGTCTTTTGTTTGGCTGGAAGCCACAGGAGTGGGTTCAATTCCAGACCTGAAGGGCAGCTAGGGGCCATAGTCTCAGTGATTCCATCAGGCTCTATCAGATCAGCAAACCTGGTCCCTCCCCTTTCTTTTTAAAATGATTTTGAGTTTTGTTCCACATTGTTCTTCCACTCTATCCAGGATCTCCTACACAGATCCCCCCTCTGAATGGTTGACAGTAGTAGCTGGGCACCATCTAGTTCTTCTGGTCTCAGTCGTATAGGCTGAGGATTACATGGTGTACCAGTCACTTGGACTAATTGTTTCCATGACTCTTTGGTTTTCTTCATTCTTTGCTCTGGATGAGGAGAGACCCATTGTTGCATCTAGATGGCTGCTTGCAAACTTTTAAGATCCCAGTCGCTGCTCTCCAGAGTAGGATGTAGAACAGTGTTTTTGTGTAGTATGTTATGCCTTTGAGCTTGATGTCTCCTGCGACTGTGGTCCCGAGCCCACAGGTCTAACTACTCTCACTCCCTCTGGGTAGCTGGCTGTGGCCAAGAAGTGCCTACAACCTTGTCCCTTGTCTGCTCTACCTGAGAATTCTTACAGAACATACAAATACACTTGTAGAAGCATTGTCTACCAACCCTGTACATGGTCTTGGGCACACTCTCCCCTGCATAGACATACCTGATAGTTCAGACTGTCTACCTATCTATCCTCCTGTATAGCCATGTTTGCCTTCACTGACAACAAGTACTATATATGCAAAAGGGTTCATCTTTGTTGTCTGTACTCCTATGCACCTGTCTATGTCTTCCTCTTCCTCCGTGCCACCGTAGAAACACATTATCTTATTTGGTCACTTGCCTGTTTAAAACTTTTAGGGGGTTTTCATTATCTCCATTATCCTTAAAGTAGTTTATAATGCTGTCTGTGATCTGGCCCTTTGATTCTTCAGTACTGACTTGTCCCAGCTCTACATTTCTGCTGTATTCAGCTTCTTACTGTTCCCTCATATATGTAGGCTTTGTTTCTCTTTACTCAGTCTGTGCCTTCTCTCTTTTCGTTTGCTCTGTTTGGAATGGCAGCGGTGTCCTCAACTCCTACATACACTCAAAACCCACACCCACTCATGTTTGGTTCATTCTAGTTGGTCTTTCGACTGTTGCCTTAAAATATACTTTTAAAGGCCTTTCTTGAGCCTCTAGATTAGGTTAAATTGCTTTGTTATTTGCTCTTATAATATTCTTTACTTCCTCTTTGCTAGCATTTAGCATATTTGTAATTTTGTTTTTGGTATCTGGCTTATCCTCTAGCCTTTAAGCTTCATAAGAGGAAATACTCTCTGTCTTATTCAGCACTCTATCCCCATTCCTATTATGACACCTCACACACTGGAATGAAACAATTCTAGTATATTGGAATTCTATTTTTATCTTAGATTAGTAAATCTCTAATTTTATAATTTGACAGTCATTTGACAAAATAGGATTTGATATAAAGAAATAATATCACAGGTTACTTTTCCAGAAATGTATGTATTTCATACAGTTGTGTAAAATATGTTCCTTACAAGCTATACATAGGAAAAAAAAAATTGAATGACTGTGTCATCCTCACTAAATATTTTATACCAGTGCTAAATGAGGAACAAGAGAACAGTAGATTGTCTGTCACTGACAGTATCTCCAGATGGGTTAATCCTTACCATATTAGAAGAATTTAAAATACACCAATAAGATAAACCTAAGATAAAACAATGATTGATACAGTCTGGAGGAAAGAGGCAGGATGATGTCTTTTTACTGTTACTTTCTTTTAATTTTTACCTGTTTTTCTAGATAAAGTATATCTATATCTACTCTCGCATAACCATTCTTAAACTTTATAGTTACACCTTAGTGTTACTATATCTATTTATATCGCTATAGATTACTCCCAGATGGGAGCTCTGGTAGCATAGTGCCTAAGGCACTGCTAACCTGGAGGCTGGCGGTTCAAACCCACCAGCCACTCCTCGGAAGCAAGATGGGGCAGTCTACTGCCTTGGAAACCCAAGGAGGGGTCGCTGTGAGTTGGGTCCAACTCAACGGCATGTAACAACAACAGATTACTCTCACAGCCCCATTTGGAACAGAAGATTCAAACTACATTTCAGCGCAAATTCTGCCTGAAAAAAAAAAAAGACTTTTTTTTAAAAACCAAGAACAAAACAAAACAAAACCCATGTTTTTTGGTTCTTTGACCTCCTTTGGCATCTCTGATTCATGCAACAAATACTTACTGTGCACATACTATATAAAGCAGGCACTATGGGGCCTTAAGGAGACCTAGTGATTCAGTGGTTAAAGGGTTTGGCTGCTAACTGAAGGATTGCAATTGAAATCTACCAGCTGCTTCACAGGAGATAGATATGGCAACCTGTGTCTGTAAAGATAACAGCCTTGGAAACCCTATGGGGCAGTGGTATTCTGTCCTATAGGATTGCTATGAGTTGGAATTGACTCAATGACAGTGGGATTGGTTTGGTTATTAGGCATTAGGAATATAGCAATAAATAAAATAGACATAAATTTCTGTCCAAATGGAGCTTGCATTCTAATGTTCTTATTTTAAGGAAAATTTTTGTTTCATGAAAATCGTTTGTGAATTCCTCAGCGATTTGTGTTAAACCCTAGGCATATAATACAGTATACTACAAAGTTAGGAGGTGATATCCTTACTCTTTAGTTGTGATATGTCTTCCTTATTACTATTTCCATAGGTTAATATAATTTCTTGCAAAACAGATTATTATGTAATGCCCAACAATCTTTTTAAATTAAAGTTCTGGATTTAATAACACAAAACTTAGTAGACTAATAGTTTATGCTTTTTTTTTAAATGACTAATTTATTGTTTTGTTTTAATTTCTTAGGGATATCCATACCACGTCTATATTGATTCTGTCATTTCTGACGCCAAAGAGGCTTTTCTCTGCCATTTGTTTAATAGCATGTGATTTTGGCTAGTTATTTAATTTAAGCTATACGTAAAATAGAGGCAATATTTCCTGTAAAACGTCTAGTGTTTTCCTTTGTATATAGTAGTATTAGTTTTCCATTTCATTTGTAATCATATTCTAGTTGTTTCTTTCTGAAAAAGGCACATATGCTCTTTTGAAATCATGGGGCTATACAACAGCTTGTTCAGTATCCTTATCTTCTATACCGTACAGAACATGCTATCTACCACCTTTTCCTTCACGCTTCTACACGCCATGGTCCCAGCTCCTGTTAATCTTGATCTTTAATAAAGATCAGTTAAATACTGGTATCAGATAAATACCAGTTCTTTCAACCAGAATATTTCTCTGGATATATTCTCCAGGCCAGTAGTTCTACTTGATTTGCTGATTAAAGACATCATGTTGAATAAACAGCACGGAGAATGGTAGAGTTAGATTCACAAAGGAGCTAAAAGAGAGTAATAAAACAATTGCTATCAGTAAAGGAAAGCATGAAAGAGCTAGAGTGTCTACTGGAGAGGAACAGACACATAAATTTTTGCTAACCTTCCCCTTTATCTGCTTTGGATTATTTATATAAAGTATAAACAGTTTTCTAAGACTTATTTCATAGTTCCTTTCTGGGTACTTTTCCTGGGGGAAAAATACTGCGGAACTTCTTGCTGTTCAAGTTGAGGCTTTACCTGGTCCAGCATTCCCTCCCATACTTTTCTCTGTCCAAAGTTAGAGCAAGCCAAGCCTCTATAAGGACAAGGTCGAGAGAGTTGATAATTGATAGGCAGGGTCATCAGTCTACCATTTTTATACTCTAAGCTTGTGCTTTATGGCAATTTAAAGATTTAAATGTGTAGCCCCAAAGACAGTCACCTCTACCTTATTGCTTTCCTTCACTTTTTCCCCCATTTCACCATTTTCTTATATGTTCAGTTCAGTGACTTTAATTACATTCACCACGTTGTTCAACTGTCACCACTTCTTTCCTTCATTTTTTTCATTAGTAATTACCAAATTCCGTTCTGACAGATTTCTACATCTTTCGTGCTTTTCCAGGCTTTCATCTTCTCATATAATGTTGCCATAACAGTCTGTAATCTCATCTTCTATCTTCTTTCAGTCTTTTAATGTTGTTGTTGTTAGGCACCGTCAAGTAGACTCTGACTCATAGTGACCTTATGTTCAACAGAATGAACCACTGCCCAGTCGTATCCTCACAATCCTTGCTATACCTGTGCCCGTTGCTCTTTTATTCATCAGATGAAAATTTCCATTTGACCTTTAAAGGTCTTTCTGTTGCTGACATCAGGTATTTTTATAAGCACTTTTTATGAGTATTTTTATCACTTTACTTTATTTGACCTCAGCATAGAAGTATGGCTTTGTTTTGGTGTTCTTCTCCATTGTAACTAAATCTAATACACAGTAGATTATCAACACATGGTGGACCAATTGAGAAGGCCTCATCGACAAGGCAAACAACAGGACTGAGTTGCTTATCTTTTTAGAACAGTTTAACTCAGGTGAATAATTGTAAGTTAAATTTAGTAGAACTAATAAATATCTGACATAGTATGACAGCTGATTACATTATATTTTTGTTTTGAAAAAGTTTTACAGGAAGAGTGTAGATAGGTTTATATTGTTTAAAGTAATGAACCCATACGAAAATTTGAAATGCTTTAGGTTCTTTGATTTTCTGTCAAAAGCAAATAACTTTGTGTAGAATATTCAAAATAGTGCAAAGAAAATTGCTGTTTTCCTTGAAATTCAAAAACCTATTTAGTATATATTTTTTAAAAAATAACTAGTAAATAAATATGGTTTTACAAATTTTCATTTCAGTTGCTTTTGCCAAGAGTAAGTTATTTGACGTTGGTAACTGACAAAGTGAAAAAGCACTTTCAGAAGGTTATGAGACAAGAAGACATTAGTGAGATATGGTTTGAATATGAAGGCACACCACTGAAATGGTGAGTGAATTTTTTTGCACTATTAAGCATTCAATATATGCTAGTTTTAAAAAGGTATAGAGCCCTGAAGCAATTGTTTAAAACGTTCTATAAAGAAAGAAATTATAGATTTAGTTCATGCCATTGTTAGAATATTACGTTGAAAATACTTTTGCCTTCTGTTTGAATGCGTGGGTGACTGGATAGATTGATTTGCTTTCAGCAATTTTTTTTTTTTTTTTTTTAAATGGCACAATAATGCTAGTATACTTGGTTATGGGAGTCTTTGCAGATATATAATAAAACACTTACTATTAAGTTGTCTTTATGGCACTGTTGAATTTTGTTTCTAGCTCTAAAAGTTTTATAATGGATCTTTATATGCAGGTAATTACCTAAAATGAAATCTTTCAGACTTATTGCCACATTTTCTTGACCACTGTGCCACAAGCACATCTTATCTAGGCTTAGTTCAGTACTTTAAATGTATTACTCCCTTTTTATTTGAAAAATAATTTTTATTTTATATTTTATTTAAAATAAGTCCTAAATCTGGGCTTATCCATGTACAGATGATACTTCTTTTGCACTTCCTCTACTATAAACCCAAAATGAAACCTGCTTATTGGGACTCTGTAGGACATAGTAGAACTGCCCCATAGTTTCCAAGGCTACAAATCTTTATAGAAGCAGATTGCCACATCTTTCGCCCATGGAGTGCTGGTGGATTTGAACCACCAACCTTTTGGTTGACAGCCAAGCTCTTTAACCAGAGTTCTCTCCTTTATTATTTTAAAAAAAGAAAACCAAACTTGCTGCCGTCGAGTTGGATCCGACTCATAGCGACCCCTCCTTTGGTTTCTGAGGCAGTATCACTATGAAAGTAGATTGCCCCCATCTTCCATCTGAGGAGTGGCTGGTGGTTTTGAACTGCCAACCTGGTTAGCAGTCAAATGTCTTAGGCACTCTGCCACCAGAGCTCCTCTGTCCTTTATTATGTTGTTGTTATGTGCCATTGAGTCGACTCCGACTCATAGCAACCCCTCCTTGGGTTTCCAAAGCAATATCTCTACAAAGTAGATTGTCAAACCTTCCTTCTGAGGAGTGCCTGGTGGATTTGAACCACCAACCTTATGGTTAGCAGTCAATGCCTTAGGCACTCCGCTACCAGAGGGGTTTCAGTTCATTGTGCTTCTAAAAATATTATCTGAAACTGGAGAAATTTCAGAGAAAGGAATATAATAAAATGATATAAAGTATTGAAATGCTATCACATGGATGTTGTTGTTGTTGTTGTTGTTATATGCCGTCGAGTCGGCCCCGACTCATAGCGACCCCTCGTTGGGTTTCCGAGGCAGTATCACTACGGAAGTAGGATTGCCCAACCTTCCTTCCGAGGAGTGGCTGGTGGGTTTGAACCACCAGCCTTCTGGTTAGCAGTCAGGTGCCTTAGGCACTATGCTACTAGAGCTCCTTCACATGGATGTAGTTGAATATAAAAGATACAGTCTAAGACATTATGTAAAGGAAATCATGAAAGACACAAATAGACTTTCTCTCTGAATCTGAGACAATTAAAACTCAGTTTTAAAAGAGATTTAAAACAAATAAAGGAAGCCAGTAGGCAGCAGAGTTGAATTTAAGGACTGTTATAAGCAAGGAGTGAACTTTTGGAACTCACCCTGTGCTGATAAATCCCAAGAGAGTAGATTTTTTCATAATGATTTGGAAACAGTGATATTTTGTGTTGAGTTAGGGGTCGAGTCTCTCACTTTTTGAGGTGGTTCTGGAAATGGATGTCAAAGTTTTCTTTTTACAGTTTTTTTTTTTTTTTTTAATCCAAAGAGACTACTGAGCTTCCTGATCATAGACTCATTGTGACCCTTCTTGAATAGTTTTAGACCTCAGGCAGTGTAGTAGTTATATTTGTGTGTCAACTTGGCTGGGCCTGGTTGAGTGGCTGGGCAGCTGGTGGTAGTTATTCCCCATGATGAGACTGGCATTCAGCTCCATGGTGGGATCTACTACAGGCAGCTGAGTAGCTGCCTTTGGGATGTGGTCTGCTTCCTGTATATAAGGAGAAGCCTTGGGAATGGTCTCTAGCCTGTGGCATGCTTGGACCCTACATGTAGCCGTGTCGTTGCTCAGCAGCCTGCTATGCTCTGCCGACCTTAGGACTTATAAAGGACTTAAGTTAATGGCCTGCCGTGTGGTTTGGTAATATCGGGAATGTGCCTTTTTACTTGTCACCTTGGGGCTTCTCAGCCTCAGCATCCAGCAGCTGTCTGACTGAGGAATCGCCTGTAGCTCCGGTGGGATCAGTATTTATCGTTTCTCAAAGTCTCATGCAAAACCTATTGCTGTTGAATGGATTACAGTTTCTAGCGACCCTATAGGACATGAAGTTGTATTCCCCTTTAGTAAGTTTACATGAAACTAATTGTGTTCGAATATCTTGATTTTAGTTTCTGGGATATTAACTTTGTTATGCATGATATCACTTTCATAGTGTGGTGTAGTAAATTACCTGGTATGGCTTTTCTAGCCATAAGTCTTTGTAAACTCCTTGGTGGAATTTGCCATGAGCAACTGAGGAGCTCCTAATTATTAAAGTTACCCACCTGGGGTATTTCCGTTGAGAGTGGCACAAAGCAATGTTCTGGGAAGTTCACTCCCTCTCAGGTGCTTAGAATTCTGATACTATGATTGGTTAGTTTGGCCACTCTGCCAGGCTCAAAAGGAACCCTCCTAGAGGCAGAAGAAGTCTCTCTGACTGCTGGCTGAGAAAGATGTGCTGCTGAGAGAAATGTGCTTCTGCGAGACAGTGTGCTGCTGGAAGAGAGACTGAGAGACACGCGGTGCTGAGAGAGATACTGAGAGACACACGCTGTTGGGAAAGAGACCGAGAGAGACTGTTAGCTGAGAGACCGTGGGCTGAGAGACTGAGCGTGTTCCTGAACTTGAATTGTATCCTGGTGCTTCCCTAATAAACCCCATAATCTGTGAGTTCTGTGTGGCCACTGCAGTGAATTATCGAACCCAGAAGAGAGGTGGTAGCTGCTGTGGGAGGAATGGTTGGTGTCAGGGTTGGTGAAAGGGCTGGAGGGAGGTGGCATGTCTGGCCTCACAAGGATAGGCCTTGGGCTGCTGATGGTGATTCTGTCTTCCTCTTGTGGGGTTAGAGGAGATCAGAAGATGTGGTCTCCCTGCCCCTTTGGCAGTCATGCTATAAGCTTGTACATCTAATGACTTCTGATACCTTTTTTCCTTCAGTATTTTAGGTACTTTGTATATTTAACAAATGGATTACTATCTTACCCTGAATGTTATAACTGTGAATGTAATTCAAAGCTTATGGGATAAGTCTTGATATTTTCTCTCTTTGTTCCCAACGGTAACAATTTTCTTCTGTGTTTAAAAAAAAAAAAAGTATCTTTCTGGAAATAGGTTGTCACTATAAAAATCTGCCTAGCACTTAACCAAGGGACTTTATAAGATGTGATAATCATCATAGGAAAGCAGCAGTCATCTAAGCTTGTAGGATTTGCACTTGGAGACCATGGAAGTGTCTGGACAGTAGAGGAGTATTTACTATAGTGATAACATCTTTCCTTTACTTGATTTGTTGAAATTTTAAATAAATACAAGCAGGAAATGAAATCAAGCATAAATTTATATTCTTTCTACCCCCCACAATCTTGCCCCCAATTAATTAGTTAAGACTGTGTCATCTAAGGTGATAGTTCCCATTTAAAAAAACAAAACCCAAAACTGCAGTCCTAGCCAAATCATGTCTTTTTCACACTCAGATGGTAAAAAATTTGATTTCTTATAGGTGGTACCAAGATTAAGAGTGCTGGGAATCTTTCTTTTTTTTTAATGGTGTACAAAATCAAAATAGCAGTAATAAATAATAGCAAAATAGTATATTCCTAAAGCAGATTGTGTTTTTCCTTAACTGTTAATTTCTCTCATACTTTATTTTTCTACTTGGCTGACAGACTCTGTATGAGAAGGGGAAAATGACCCCAAACAAAGAAGTATGTTTTGAAGTTCAGTTTATTAAGATATAATTTACATGGAATTTAATTCATCTTTTTTTAGAAGTATAGTTTGATGAGTTTTGGCAAATGCATGTAGTTGTATGACTACCATCACAATTAAGGTAAAACAACATTTCTATCCCCCACAAAGTTCCTTTGTTATATACTCCATTCCCTCGCTCTGTCCTAATCCCTGGTAGTCACTGATCTAATTTATGTCCCTGAAGTTTTGCCTTTTCCAGAATGCTCTATAAATGGAATCATACAGTACTTAGCCTTTTGTTTCTGGCTTCTTTCACTCAGCATAATGCTTTTGAGATTTATGCTTCTTGTTGCAAGGCTCTTTCAACAACAATGGCTCCTTCCTTTCTCATTGTTGAACAATATGTATTGCATTTTACAGTTGTACCACAAATTGTTTATCCATTCATCAGTTGTGGGCATTGGATTGTTTCTAATGTGAAAAAAGCTGCTGCAAACATGATTGTGTTGCCATATGCCAAACCATATATATTTTAAAAGGAGCTCTGGTAGCATAGTGGCTAAGACACTTGCCTGCTAACCAGACGGCTGGCGGTTCAAACCCACCAGCCTACTCCTCGGAAAGAAGGTTGGGCAGTCCTACTTCCGTAGTGATACTGCCTCAGAAACCCAAGGAGGGGTCGCTATGAGTCAGGTTTGACTCGAAGGCACACAACAACAACAACATATATTTTAAAGAGTATTAAAAAAAATAAACTCACTACCCTTAAGTCGGATCCGACTCATAGTGACCCCTCCTTGGGTTTCCAAGGCAGTGTCACTGCGGAAGTAGATTGCCCAGTCTTCCTTCTGAGGAGTGGCTGGTGGGTTTGAACTGCCAGCCTTCTGGTTAGCGGTCAAATGCCTTAGGCACTGTACTACCAGATCTCCTTTAAAGGGTATAAAGACTTTGGTATTGGTTTCTGCATGTTCATTGTTGGTATATAGAAATGCATT